TGTCGGCGTCGGCTTAAAATGGACTGTAAGCCGGCTAAGTTTTCAACTACGTTTAGTTTTTAATTTTTCAACGATTTTAAATAAAAACGAAATCCGAGAGATCAGAAAGTGGGATTTTGGAAGCAAATATATTGTTTATAACAACAAAACAGAGCAAGCTCAAAAGTTGTGTGAGAAATTATGCAGGGATGAATAAAAAATTCTTAAAAATTAAAAACAAATCCTTTCTCCAAGTTTTACTAGGATTTGCCGATATTTAGCCCTATCTTCCATATAAAACATCTTGCAGAAAATCAGTTTCTAAAAAATTTTGCATTAAGAAAATGATCAATAACAATTTGTTACATATGGGAGATTCCACGAACGTTAATTAAGATTTTAATTTAATCTATGAAAAATTTGAATAATCTAATAGTTTCCCAGATATACAAAATTTTGTATTTAATTCATATGGGAAGTGCCAAGCCCCCCATTGAAAGTCCGCCCGTTATTCTCTAAATGTTCTTCAGTAAAATTTGAAGATTCTAGATCTAATAGAAAGATATACGGATTTTTCTATTTAATTCATATGGGAGGTCCAAGCCCCCCAGATGAAAGTCCGCCCTTTTTTCTCCAAAATGTTCAGATGAATATTAAAGTTCTTCGTGCAAAATTTGAAGAATTTAGTTCTATTAGTTTCCCAGATAAACGAATTTTTGTATTTAATTCATATGGGAGGTTCCGCTCCCCTCATTGGTAGTCCCCCAATTTATTACCCAAAATGTTTACATAGATGTTAAAGTTCTTCCAGAACAACATCATTTAAAGGGATCACAAAGATATTGAAAAATATTCCAAAAGTTTCACTTTGAAAACATTATTAGAATGTATGAAAACTCGCAACTCTAAAGGCAGACTATTCCTATTTTAGCGGTAATTTATGATTAAAATAAGTAAGAGTTATATTCGGCAAATCATATGTCGTAAAAAATCAAATTTCGGAAGTGGTCCGATCATTAGATTAATAAGAACGTCACCGTGATTTTCGGATTAGGGACTTAAATGTGGAATTGGATCAATTATGGACAAAGTTCTCTATAATTTAGAGTATTTTTTTTAATTCTACCATAATTCTATCATAATGATAACTTTTGGAATGATGTATTGGCTATAAACTGATTTTCTGTAAGAGGGTTATATTGGAGGACCGATCCTCATAATTGTTTTATTATGGTATTATTAAGTACGTAGAAAACGTTACAATCAATTATTGAAGGGGGCAGGGTCAATTATGGCATATAGAGATTTCGATTGATATCGAGCCCTTTTTGCAAAATGGACGTAAGCGAGATAAATTTTCGTTCAATTAGGATACTGAGTGTTTAATTTTATGTTTATATATTCAATATTTTAGAAAATTCAAAAAGTACCAGTTGAAGAACGTAAAATTACCAGAAATACTCCAGTATAAATTTTCATTCACTCAAGTTCCTGATTGCTTAGTTTTATGTTTTTAGGTTCATTATAATAGAAAATTCAAATAGAACCAGTTGAAGAACGAAAGAGTTCCAAAAAGTCCCCTTTTATATGTTATCACTTAATCCGGGCTGTACATTCCTAATTTCATGTTTCTAGGTTCAATATTATAAAAAATTCAAAAAGTACCAGTCGAAGAACGAAAAAGTACCAAAAAGTCCCCTTTTAAATGTTATCACTTAATCCGGGCTGTACATTCTTAATTTCATTTTCTAGGTTCAATATTATAAAAAATTCAAAAAGTACCAGTCGAAGAACGAAAAATTACTAAAAAGTCCCTTTTTATAGATTATAATTTACTCCGGGCTCTACATATTTATTTTCATGTTTCTAGGTTTAATTTTATGGAAAACTCAAAAAGTACCAGTCGAAGTACGATAAAGTTCCCATTTTATAGATTCTCATTTACTCCAGGCTATAAGTGCTTAATTTCATGTTTCGAGGTTCAAATTTTGTAGCAAGCTCAAAATGTACCAGTCAAAGAACGAAAAAGTACCAAAAAGTGCCATTTTATAGATTCTCATTTACTCCGGGCTCTACGTGCATAATTTCATGTTTTTATGTTCAATTTAATAGAAAACTCAAAAAGTACCTTTTGAAGAACGAAAAAGTATCAAAAAGTCCACTTTTATAGATTCTCAAGTGCTTAATTACATGTATCTAAGTTCTAAGTCAAAAAAAGTACCAGTTGCAACATCGTATTGCCAGCCCGTTATTATGTATTCATATGTATAAGTTACTAAATCAAAAACAATGTTTTATAAAAAAGTACCAAAAATAGGTACAATTTTCACCCCTTAAACTTCCGAATATCCAAAAAGTACTAAATTCATATTTTTATTAGTTATGAAGGATTCAAAAATATTTTTTGAATGTTCTCTGGTTTAAAAGATACATGGGGTGCAAAAGAAGTACCAAATTACAGTTTCTACCCGTTTATTCCCCAAAGGGGCCGAATTTGAAAAAAGTACCAGACACCTGTCCGCTTATTTTTTAAATGAATGACGATAAGCTTTAAACTGTTTTTGTATCTTTTATAGTTTAGGAGATATGATGTTACCGAATTTACCCATTTTTACCATTTTTAACCCCCCAATCATTCGAATTTCCAAAAATCCCGTCTTAGTGGATCTATTTGGTGGGAGACCAACCTCCTGTCCAAATTTCAGCTCTTTAGCTTCAACCGTTTAGGGTCTACGATGATGAATCAGTCAGTCAGTCAGTAACGTTAGAATTTTATATACAGTGTCTCTCATAAGTATTCGAATTTAATGTATTATGAAAACAGACATCATTTTATAATAGATTTTGTGGGAAAAATAAATAAATAAATTTATTATGTAGTCCAGACAGTCCTTAAATTTTATATCACAATTTAAAAATTTAAAAAAAAAAATAATTTACTTAAACTAATTTAACTTTTTTTAAAAAAAAGTGCAAAAAATAGCTTCACAAAAATATTCGAATTTTTTGTATAAATCATATTTAGATTAGCATTATGAAGTAAAAATAAATAATTAAAATGAAATTAATGTTTTGTATAGTAGCCTTTGTTTTTAAAAACAACTTCCAAGCGTCGTGGGACCGTTTCTACCAATTTATGGAATAGTTCTAGCGTTATTATGTCCCATTCTTTATACAAAGCAACCGTATGGTAGTTTTGGAGGATAATGAGTGATTTAAAAGTTGTTCTTGTAAATATAACCAAAAATTTTTAATGGAGTTTAAGTCCAGACATTAACTCCATTGAAAATTTGGTGAAAGAAGATACTTAGTGTTGTAAATGATCAACGTTTTCACGTACCAGGTCGTGTATTTTGGATAGTTTTTCTGTTGAAAAATAAATTCAATGGGTTGTAGCCCCATTTTGGTGGTACTAGCATGCAAATTCTGCTCTAAAATTGACAAGTGGACCTTCTAGTCTATAATTACAATAATAAATTTTAGCAGTCCAACACCGTGGACAGACACAGAACCCCAAAATATGGCAGAGTAACTTGGGTCCTTTACAGTTGGTTTTAAGTTAGATAATTCCAAGGCATCTCTGAGCCAAAAATATTATATTTGTTCTAATCGTCGAAGATAACCTCCTTCCAGAATCCAATATTCTTACTTATGAGTAGGGATGCCAATCCCGAAATCCCGATCCCGAAAATCCCGGGATTTTTCGGGATTGGCAAATCCCGAATCCCGGGATTTGGAAAATAAATCCCGGGATTTTTTCGGGATTAGGATATCCCGAAACCCGGGATTTTTCAAAATAAATCCCGGGATTTGTTTCAAAAAACTGTTTTTATTTTCTTTTTTTGAGCCATAATTTTCATTAATTTGAAAATTACGATCTTATTTTATTTTCGACTCATGCAAAACAAAATTCCGCAGAGCTAATTTCATACATATTTGAACCTTTTATTTTTTAAAGTGGTATGATTCCATACACATAGCACATATAAATTTATTTATTCACTTCGTTTTTATACCCTACAACACTTTAGTGGGGAGGGTATATTGGGTTTGTGCTGATGTTTGTTACGCACAATAATATTGGTCCTATACCCACCTTAAAGTATACCAATCGGCTCAGAATCATTTTCTGAGTCGATTTAGCTATGTCCGTCCGTCCGTGTAAACCTTGTACAGTAATTTTGAAGATAATTAAATGAAATTTTGCATGATCTTCTATTGTACTAGAGACGGATCCTATTGAAAATGGGTAACATCGGTCCAATGTTTGACCTAGCCCCCATACAACTGAACCCCCCGAATAGGGCTTTTAAGTTCATAATTATGTTCAATATACTCGTATCTCGACAAAAAGCTGCAAAACCAAGTTCTATACTAGCCTTCATGACCCTGATGTATTTTTTGTGATACGGCCTCATTTGACCCTAGCCCCTATACAAAGCCCCCTTCGAAATATGACTTACATGTACACAATTTTATTCAACAAAAAATAGCTAAAGTATATCTGAGGCAAGGTACAATTCAACTTAGATGCTTTATTATGAACAATAAATCACATTTTATTTTTATAACTGGTGTAGGGTATTATATGGTAGGCATCGCCCAACTATATCTTTTTACTTGTTAACACATCGAAATGTTGGTCGTAGACCGACCCAAAAAGTATACACATTCTGTGTCTGTAAGCTGAAAACACGAGTTAGAAGACTCATTCTATTTGGGCTGCAAATTTGGACCAAAATTGACACAAGAAAACCTAATTGGACCTCCTCTGAAAATCACATTGATGCTCATATTAATATCAATACATTACAATATTTTGATGGTGGGTATTTAATTTCGGCACAGTCGAATACAAACTTTATTTTTCAATAGAGGTTCTAAATTGATGTTCGAATAATTGAATTGGTATCTGTTATAATTATTAGTTCACATGGAACAGTATGAGGTTTTAAAAAGTGATTATGTCTAATTTCGGAACTTGATATTTATTTTTATTTAGGAAGTAAGTATGTATTTAA